TTTCTCATCTGTAAAATGGAAAATGATAATCATAACTTCATAAAGTTGACATGAAGTTCTTAATGCCTGATACATAGTAGCACTCATTAAAAGGTTACCCATCATTGTTAATGGCTAAGTAAATGAGTCAGGCTGGAGTCTGAGGTCACAGATAATACCCTCAGCTTACTCCTCCGGATGAACCATTCTTACAAGGAACATGAATGTGGTATAGCAACCCCAAGCAAGACCTGTGTAAAAAAGAACACTGTGAGTCTGAATAACATTAGGCATAATATACAATTATGTTCAATGCATCAAAAAAATGTTTCATTCTTATTGTAAGATTTTAAAGTATGGGTACCCCTCAAAAGTGTTCTGTTTTCAGTAAGTTATATGATAGGCCACCTTAAAACTTATATGCAATAAAATTCCCACTTGGCTTTCTAAAATTTAATATTCATAGTTCTATGAAGGATTATTATCCTTTTCCTGAGGAGGAAATTGAGAATTTACAGAATAATTAAATACCTAAAATGGGGCCTTATGTGGTAGACATTCAGCAAATATGTTGAATGTATGATTGACTTTTCAAAATCAAACAACTAGCAAATAGTAGAGCAGGGACTTAAACCTGGCTCTGTGAACTTTGAGCAGTTTAAAGCTATAAATATTTTCTCTTGCCAACTTACCCTCTGCCAGGACTATCGAGAAATTGTAGAACTAGACTAAAGTGATTTTTTTTCTTTAGAGAGAGGGGCAGAAAGAGAGGGAGAGACAGAATCTTAAGCAGACTCTGCACCCAGTGTGGAGCCTGACACAGGGCTCAGTCTCAAGACCTGAGATCATGACCTGAGCTGAAATCAAGAGTTAGACACTTAACCAGCATCTGAGCCACCCAGATGCCCCAAAAGTGATGTTCTTCTAAAGTAGTCTGGCAGTTAATGCTGGTCCTGGCAAACCTTTTTGCAAAGTTATTTTACAAGTCTGCCAGTCAATATCAAGAAACATATCTAAGGAATTGCATAAAAGCAAGCACTGAAAGTATTAAACATATGTGTAGATCCATATGTAAAGATAAAGGAGGATCTATATAATAAGACTTAGAGAATTCTGAGCTTCTTAGCCTTGCATGTGAAGCCCCCATAATGGTGGTCTTTAATTTTTTATAGTTTTCTTTTTCACAAACCCTTCTTCACATTTCCTTATACTTCTTCCTCATTGCTTTCTACATCTTTCTCTATGTTTTCCAGTCTCCGTCTCTGCTCAAACTAGTCTATGCCTGAAATCATCCTCCATATCTACTTGTCAAATTACTATCCATTCTTCATATTACTCCAGAGTACTGTCTCCTTTCTTCACAATCTTCACATCTCTTTTAAATTCTGTAAATAGTCTGTCTTGACTGTTACAAATAGTAGGAATCAAATAATTATAGGAAGAATGAATGAATTGTGAACTCCTAGCAGGCAGGAGTCTTATTCATCTTTGTATCCCCAAAGCACCCTAGCCATTTGGGAGATAGGATGCTGATGTTTAAAGAACATAGAATGAAATATAGTTTAGAAACTTGGTTTCATCTTTTTGTACTGCATGACCTTGGGCAATTACTTAACCTTTCTGAACCACAATTTTGTGAATAAAATGGCAAAAAATATGCAGTTATATGCAGTTCAGAATATGCAAAACTATTTCTTAATTATGTATAGGATTTGATTGAATCACTTTTGAATATGCTAGTTGCTAAGGGAAATACTGATGAGTAATAAGATATTTATCCTCAAAAGTCTTATAGTCTTGAATTAAGGACTTCCACAGATGAAACAAAGCAAACTATACAGAATATGCTATAATTAAGTATTAAATGAATTATATGATAAAGGAATTCATAGAAGAGGGAGTCTATAATAAATACAAATGGTAGGCCATGAGGTGGCCTGAAAGCTGTGCAGTATTGGGGTAGCTGTGAAAGGGGATGAGAACAACATGAACAGAGATTGAATTGAGTGTAGTGTGATGTTTTTGACATGAGAAGTTAGCCAAGCTCTAGAGCAAAAGCCAAATTTTGTAGAATAGTTGTGAAAGCCCCTGAAATTCCAAGTAGACTTTCCATTACTTGCCACTTTTGACCCCAAATTCATTTAATATACAGATATTGAACATTGACCCAACCTACTCTTTGGGCCTCATTACACTCCTCCCACACACCCTTCGTTGTGGTCATAATGAACTTTTCACAATTTCCTGAACACTGTGATTTTTTCTGACCTTACTGTACTTAATGTCTCAGCATCACTTAGCATAATTACTCATGCTTTTCTAATTGAAACAGTTACTTATACTGGACTTTCTTGGTCTTTCTCTTATCTTACTGACCATTTATCAATCTCCTTTGCTCTGACTTCTCCTCCTTTGCTTGATTTCAAATGATTGGAATGCCCAGGGCTCCATCCTGGTCTCTCTCCTTTTCTCTAAGCAACCTATTTCTCTAGGTTATTTCTTTTGCCCACAAAATCTAAATATGGTCAGTATGCTATGAACTCTCCTGCTCTGAACTGTCTTTGTTGACCTTTACCTGTGTACAGATGTACGTGATACCTCTTTTTGGATATCTAATAGGCATCTTAAACTTAATATAGCCAAAACTTCACTCTCAGTTTCCCCACCCAACCTGTTCCTACCCCAGTTTTCCTCGTTAAATCCAATTCCATTCTTCCATTTGCTTAGGCCAGAAACTTGGGGTTATGTTTTTCTCTCATTCCATTAGTAATTTGTCTGGTTTCTACCTCTAAAAGATACCTGAACCTGACAACACTTCACCCTCTTTGCCTCTACTGCCCTAGTCCAAGTCACCACCACTTCTTGCCAGGACTAGCCTCCTAAGTCTCCTAGTTCTTCCTGCCTTTACTCTTTCTTCACTGTAGCCTAAGCAGCTGGAATAATATTGTATACATGTAAATGTAAGTCAGTTCTTAACTATTTCCCTGTGTGAAACCTCTAGTGGCTTTCCATTGCAATTACTATAAATATCAAGTTCTTTACTATGGTCTGCAAGGACCTACATGATCAGACTACTGCTATCTCTCTCTTATCATACCAGCCTCATCTTAAATGGCACTTCCTCAGAGATGCCTTTCCTAACTATTCTGTTGAATATAACTCCCTTCACCCTGCCCCTCTGTTACCTTTTTAATTGTAATCCTGTTTTATTTACTTCACAGCACTTAGTATTTTCTCAAATTACTTACTCATTTATTTGGTTATTGTCTGTCTCCTTTACTGGAATGTAAGTTTCATGAAAGCAGGGATCATGTTTTTCTTGTTCACTACTGTATCCCTAGCAGCTAGAACAATGTCATAAATATACGTAGGTGCTCAATAAATACATGTTAACTGAGTGAATGAACATGCTGTGTTCTTCCACTTATTATTTCCTTGTCTAAAAAGTGCCACCCTTCTTTCTTCCCCAAACGAAGCAAAAATTTCATGCCTTCCAAATGATAAACACAAAGGTCCTACTTACCTAACTTCATATTTCAACTTATATTTTTCTTCCCCTTTGAAGCTTTCCCTAACCATTTCCCTCTTTCTTAGTTGTACCTATTACATTTTACTCTGGCTGTTTATATATCTGTCTACCCTTCTTAGATTGTGAAGTTTTTTATGGACAGGACCTATGTATTTGGGTTGGTTTCCTTAGCACATGGAGTAATGCAAGGCATTGACTTAATGTTGATAAATACATGACTCAACATCAAAATCTTAATCCCCTAGTAGTTTTCCAGAAAGTAACATTGCTTTCTGAGATACAAAGATGGATAAGGCTCTTGCCTTCTGGAAATTCACAATTTATTCATTGTTCAATAAATATTTATCTGCATTGTGACAGGCATTATGCTTAACTGCTAAGGATACAGTGACAAAGCTTCCTGCCTAAAGAAACTCTATTTTAGTTGGGTATTACTTCCTTTGATTTTGATTAATAATATTTCATTCTGTATATTGGTGTTTCCTAGGTATTTTTAGTCTGTAATTAACCTGGGAACTCTATGGGAGACAATGGGAGAGACAGATTAACTACCTAATCTTAAATTGCATGTATGTTTATCACATAGTTACAGAATAGCAAAGGAGGAGTAATGGAGGCCAGAACTGTGTAGCACACCCAAATTGTTTTCCCAATTCTGCAGGCATGGCACAATTATACTCAAGGCTGCCAGTATAGATTATTCATACACAACAGTGGCAGATTTTTATTTTCAGTGTTGATAGTGCTTTTTAATACTGTCATAAACAAATAGAACCATGACTAATGTTTCTTTTTTTTCTTTAAATTTTTTTATTGTTATGTTCATGACTAATGTTTCTTAATTTATGTGGTTAATTTCATGTACTCTTCATGGTTCTGACACATTTCTAACATTTTGGTTAATGTTGCTCTGAATTCTCCAATTTCTAAATTCTGTGTATTCCTCAGTCCTAAGTGAAAGCACAGATATTTTGAAGGAATTTTGATATAGCAGGTAAAGTTCTGGAGATTTCAGTATTTTCTGAATTTTGATTGAAACCATATTTCTATTCTTACACAGCATTCATGAGTATAAACACTATTTTATATTTCTGTTCTTCTAAAACACCTATTTCACTTGGATTTGAACCAGAGTCTTTGAATATGCATCTTACTGGCATATTTGGAATTTTATATAATTGAAAAAATTCGGTTCTCTTGGAAGAAGTACATATGCAGACAATAGCATATGACTTCTAGAAAATTCTTATGTATGCAAAGTGTTTAGAATTGAAGTTTAAAAACACCTTGGTAGAGAAGGAGTTAACAGGTTAGCTCCCCTTGGTTGCTCTCAGCATGCTCTCTTGCCTTTAGGAGCTGAAAAGATGATAACATTGGGCCCGGACATGCCTGTGTGGAGGTTGTGGTACTCCTGGGGTTTTTGCAGCTAGCTGTAAAGCAAGCTAGAACATGTTCATCTCAGAGTTCCTTGTTTTTCTTTCAACCCTTTCAGTGCCCTGCAGGAGTCATTAAATCAAAACTTCATGCTGATCATCACCCACCGAGAAGTCCAGCGGGAGTACAACCTGAACTTCTCAGGAAGCAGTACCATTCAAGAGGTGAGTTATGTCTCACAGCTAAGGAATAAAGGTAGCTCATTACAGTTAATGTTGACCCTGTTAAAGAGGGCTTATCTGTTCTAGTTGGAAACTCTCTTTATGTTTCATTATTGGGTTCTTAATTTTAATTAACTGGAGCATCAATGATTACTGTAGATCTATTTAATGACTTGACCTAGAAAGATAGATGTTATAAATGAGAGCTCTTGATAACTCTTAAAATAGTCAACTTAAAACCTTGCTTAAAAAATAGTTCATTGTTATATAATGTATTTTACGGTTTTATAGTAATAGTTAAAAATATTAATTTGGAAATTGTTGACAGCATGCATTTTCGAATATGCCTATATTTTATTTGAAAGGTTGCTCTCAGATGTATTATTTGTAATGTGTACCCTGCCTTTTTCCAAAAGGAGTTTGAGGAGGCTTTTCTTTAGTAGCTCAATCCCAACATTAGACAGTCATTAGACAGTATTTGTGAGATGCTGTTGGAGACTGTCAGTCTTTAGCTTAGAATATCTGAGATATAGTGTCAATATTTTCTTCAACGTGGCCAACCAGGGCCACTGTTTCAAAAAAGAACCGCCCCCAAGAGAGAAAAGGTACCTTTTTGCCTGTGGCCCCACCCACTTAAAAGCCAGTAATTTATCTCCATCTGGGTAAAATGTATAAGGCTTTGACAGGATTGTGTTTAGAAACACTGAAATGACGATTATGACAGTTACATCTTGTTAATTGTGAAGACAGCAATCATTTGTCTACTGATATTTTTATAAAGATAATTATGCTTAATCTTGGATTATTTCATTAATTTTTTCTTGGTCTACATTGTTTAAGATAATTATTAATGTCATATTGAAAGAATGAGTTGTTTTCACCTAATCATTTTTCAGACGTATATGAATTGTTTTAGTAGTGGTTAGACTATTAATGGTTTCCTTTTTGGATGTTTTGTCAATGAATTTCAACTTCTGAATTTGCCATAAGTAGCTCATTGCTTAAAGTTTATTTTCTCTGTTTATCACTTGAATAGTTTGTTGACTAGTAACTAAAATCTTTAAAATTTTTCTTGGCCCCTACTTTGAATCATAAGTTTGAATTATTTGATTTTTTTTTTCCCCAGAATTTTAAGCGTATTAATTGGCATTTCATTTTAACCTATATAATGGGTGTTCTAGTCTCTAAATTTTCAATTCCTTGGAGGATCATTGTTGCTTTTACTTAAGAAATAATGTTTAACTATGGCTCTATAGCAGATTTATTCTGGTAACTTCATGGTAGTAAAATTTAAATTACATATTGGATGTAATTAAATAAGGAAATTTAGTTTCAAAACAACTCCATTTTAATCAAGAAAAGCAAAAATAATACAAAGTAAATTTCATTTTGTTGATTTACTTTTTTAAATTGAAGACTAGTACAATGCTTGATGGATAAATATACACCGCTATATTTTTTTTTCTGATTGAAATTTTTATAGCCAAAATTTTTTACCTTTTTTTTTTTACATTTTTTTAAAACATTTCTATAGTTTAAGTGTGTTTCAACTTTCTCCCACAAGAGGGCAGAAAGGACTATTAAACTGATAGTCTAAAAATGTCATTCAGTGTTTTCAAATTAGCTTCTCTTATATTAACAAAAAGGAGCATAATGGCCAAGTTATTGTTTGATTTACAGATAATTGGCATATTGCAGGGAGGAGACTTAATTTCACCCTTTTAAATTAAACAGGGAGATTTAAAAAGACATAAAATATTCATTAATGTTCGGTGATTATAAAGTAGTGGCATATATTTATTTTGCCTTTATTACTGTTTCGATGGGAAAATACTGCAAATATTTCCGAAATCGAGTTGGCCATACTGACAAGTTGAAATGTTTAAGCAGCGTTAATGCAGTCTGCTCACACCTGATATCCTATGCAGAATGATTCAAAATGACTACATCAATTATTAAAAGAAATATTTAAAATTCTGTAAATGTGCCATTGTGTGCCACAGTTGGCTGAAACTGTTCTCCATGGCCTGCTATTTAGATTATCCAATATATTTTAAGCTTCAAGGACTTGAAAACAGTAAACCATTTTCAGACCATTTTCTAAATGAAAAATGTCCCAGAAATATTTCTGCAAAGACAGATATTCTTGTGTATTTCTTCACAAGAGTTTGGTTTCTTCTTTTTCTTTTTTCTCCCCCCCTTTTAAGTTTATTTAAAATAATATTTTGAAATTCTAGGTGCCAGGACAAAATAAATGCAATTTCTAGTATCAGTGCTTTTTGTGAGTAGACAGGTACATGGAAGCTCCTTTATTCTGTACAATTTAGTAAAAAAGAATATAGGATTATAGTCTCTGGGCCTAGGATCACACTCTGTAGGCCTAGTCCCAAGACTTTTCTTCTTCAACTTATGGAATATTTCGGGGTTTGGGGTGGTTCGGGAGGAATAGTTGCTCTTATGCTACAGGCATGCAACCCACAGTGATACTTAAGTATGTCCTTTTTTGTTGTATGATTGAAAGTCAGTTTGCAACACAATAAAAATACAATGTCAATATGATTTTGCAGTATGGTTTTATAAATGTTAGAATTTTTGCTATTAATGTGGAAGCTTAATGATGCCATATATCTTAAATTATAAATTAATTTCTGTCATCAGTTTCAGAAATCTCTTTTCAGTGTTGTTTAATAGTTCAAAGAATGAATTCTGACCAATACATGAGGGAAAGGAAGAAAAAAACACCTGATTTTTTTCTAGGGTAGGAGTATATTATTTTTGTTACAGGTGAAGAAATAGCCCATTTTTTGCTATTTTTAAATTTTGAAAGCCTTGTGTATATAAAAAAAAAGCTTTTCCCCAGAGACAAATTTGTATTAAATGAAATAGTGTTGAAAAGGCACTATGATTTCAACTTTATTTAGACGAAATACATTTTTTAAAATACTGAATTAGAAAATAGAATTTAGATGCAGTTTGAATTTCAAATAAACTCATCAGTGACCATATGTTCATGCAAGTTAGTGGTGATAAACCGTAGTTGTGCAAGTGTTTGTTCATTCTGGCTCTGTGGTCTCTTGCCTCACAATGCATGACTTATGTCCTTTGGGTGCTCTAGATTTTAATTTAAGCTACTTAGATATTGAGGGTTTTTTTAAACTCTTTACAAATCATTCCACTTACATTATCCTTCTACTTGAGGAAAAGGCAATGATAGTATAAAAAGGTCAGACTGGAAAGTTGCAAGTAGTCATAGAATAAAAATCCCTTCTCTTTTTCCATTTCAACAAAGCGCTTATGAAATTATCAGATAATATGACAATTACTTTGTGACAGTCATCTTTCCACCTTTTTGGGTCCTGAAGTAGCTACTTGCCACACTTTAAAACAGTGTATTTCTTTGAAAATTTAAACAAGCTTACCTTATTTTAATGAATTTTCTACACTGAGAATTCAAATTTTTAAACAGTCGATTATACAGATTCTAGTAATACTAATACTATTAAAATCTGTGATTACAAATGCACTTGGGATTGGTTAAATTAAGGGAAAAAAGATTGATTTGCCTAGTGCAAATCCTAAACCCAGGTGTGGAAAAGGATATGAAGTCCCTGAAATCAAGCCAACTTTTCTTGGAAACCAATTCTTTGTTGTCCATATTACTATTGCAAAAGCTTCTATTAAGCAGAATACCCGCTTTTCTTTGCCGATGTCATACAAACTTAAGGAATACACACATGACCCAGAATAACAATAATAAGAAACCTAAGTATTTTTGGTATGGAATCATGGAGTATTACTTATCTGTTATAGCGAGAAGCATGATAAATAGCTATTGGAATTATTTAAATCCTCTTCCAAGTTTCACTCTACCCTAGAATTCTCACTGTTCTTATTAATGTTGATTTAGTTCTTAAGGGGAATGAAAGGGGAAAATTGATGACCTATAAAGATATATCTTGCATAAAATAGTGAAACATTTCACTACTAATATTAGTGATTGTCAAGTGAGAAGCCAGTAGTTTAAATTAGCAACAAGAAGTGAACTAAATATATAAATCATACCAGTCTTTAAAAATAATCTTGGCTAAATAATTGTGAAATCATGAGGCTAGTTTGGATTCTGCAAATTTGAAACTTGGGTTGGGTTTTGTGCCTATTTTTCTATTAGCTACTTTCTGAACTTGCTTGACTAATGTATATTTCAGAGTATTCTCCTTTGATGCTAGAGATCATTAACAGTATTAAATATGTAGTTTTCTAGAGATTGTACTAATAAGCAATTTTCTGGTATTGGGTTGACCATAACTACTTAACTAACATGCCCTTTCTGTAAATGTTTTAGGTATAGTTGTTTTTTGTTTGTTTTGTTTTTTTTGTTTGTTTGTTTTCCAGTTTAGAGAGGGCGGGGGTGCTGGCACAGAACTGAAGAGTAGACTAGCTGAGAATGTGCATATGCAAGAGGGTAAATTAAATTGTGTGCTTATTTAATTAAAAGTTTAAGTGGTTTATAAATTTACTTCAAGATAAACGGCATATATAAACTCAATTAGAATGAACCCATTTTAATTAGCATATATCATAGTTTGATTTTTTAAAATTTGAAATCACAAATGACATCTTAGCAAGAATGAAAGAGATATAATTTCTTAAGCAATCGGGCAATGAATCGAAGCCTTTATTCAGCTTTGAGAAAAGGACATTATGAGTTTCTTTTAAATATCCCTTTATATTATTAGTTTCAAGTTGAAATTTATAATCTGTTGAAGTCATACCACTTTAAGTGAACAAATTGCTAATGATCATTTTATAAATATTGAGGTTACCTGTGATTCTTAGTAAATCATCCCCTTAGGAAATAAGTTTAAGTAATATTTACAGTGCAGCCATTTGGAACTGACAAGTCTTTTTCTCTCCCCAAAAGTATTTTAGAATAATCTCTCTGGGAAATTTTTTTTTAAGCCCATGTAAGTATTTCTTCACATACTTTTCAAGAGGATAGAAAC